GGGAGGGGGGCTTGGCATCATCAGGAGGGGAATAGCAGGAGGGGAGGGGCATGAAAGGGATTGAAGGAGGGCGCGGAGGAGGGGCGCGGGAAAGGGCAAGGGCCCCTTGCCTCAGCCGCGCATGTCCGTAGCCACTGCAGTGGCTCAAGGCTGCCGCGCTCGCGCCTGTCTCCCGCGGGCCCCGCGGGATGCTTTCCAGGCGGCGGTTGCCTTATGACAGGTTGGGCTTGCCGCCGGAGAGGCGGCTGAGAGCGAACGTGCAGGACCTGATACGCAGCAACGTGGTCAGCGGGCAGCGCGGCGCTCAGCTGATCAATGACTGCGTCTCTGCATCTGCGACAGGTCTCTCCGACCTGCACACGACGGAGTCAACGTCGGGCATGAAAAACGCTGCCAGGAAGTTCAGGCGGGATTTCTTCAGGAAAGGGTGGCCTTCGCTCTATCACTGCCAGGTGAGGGGCTGGGACCCCAAGTCTGAAACAGAACAACTGATGGACTTAGCGATGATGCTTCCTCACGAAATACTTCATCAACTTCATCATTTTGGCGAGCGGAGCGTGCTACTGGAGACGTCGAGTCTCGACGGCGTGTCTCTGCGCCACGTGCGAAGAGCCAGGGCGGAGAGTGGTTGCAACGACCTGGTGGCCCTGGGCGTGTGGCAGGACGGGGTCCCTTGCTTTTGGGACCGATCGATGAGCGCAGAGATCATCAGCCTCATGTTGCCAGGGGCTGCGGGGCGCTGGAAAAACCTGCGGGTCCCAATCACAGCGTTCCTCAAAGAGCACGTGGGCCCAAACACATTTGATGATGTTTTTGCAGTGGTGCAGTGGAGCTTTGTTCACTTGGCTGCGAAGCGCTGGCCGGCGGCACGGCGCGACGGCTCTCCCTTCGGCGCGCAGGACGCCTGGAGGAAGCGCCGACAAGTGGCCGATGCAACCCTACCAATTGGCGGAGTGCTTTGCCAGATCAAAGGGGACTGGAAGATGATGAAGGAGGTGCTCAAGCTACCTGGCTGGCAAGATGACGAAGTATGCTTCCTGTGCAACATCAAGAAGGACGAGGCCATGGGAGCGCAACACATCAGGGGAGGAAGGGAATCCCCTCTGGGAGGGGGTGCGCCGTCGTCGTTTTGCGGCCCCTTCCAGGGGGGGTGGAGGAGGAGGGGGAGGAGGGGTGGAGGAGGAGGAGGAGGAGGAGGAGGAGTGTTTTTGGCTACTCCCCGCAGGTGAAATCGCAGACTGGGAGAGACGCGCCGTGGAGAACGCACCGACGCACATGGCCAGAAGTCCTTGCGAAGATTATCGTTTCAGGCGAGCAGGTGTGCCCTCTCTTCCAAGTGCCGTATGCGAACGAAAAGTTGCTGAAGCTAGATTGGTTACACGTTGTTGATCTTGGAGTAGCGGCTGACTTCATAGGGGGTTTGCTATGGTATCTTGTAACGCACAAAAAGGTGGCTGGAACTACCCAGACAGGCCGCGTCTCCACACTACATGGTCATTTGATGGCGTTCTACGACAGGCAGCCGCCAGGTGAGAAGACCAGCCGCCTATCGAGACTGACGCGGGGCGCTGTGAAAGGAAAAAAAGCAACGACGGCTAAGATGAGGTGCGGCGCGGGGATGCTCAGGCACATGGTTCCATGGGCATTGGAGATGGCGGAGGCTTTCCTTGATAGGCGGAATGGCGTCGACGAGCGGGCAGCTGTAGAATCGTCCATTCACGCAGGGATGAAAAGCTTATGTCGGTGTTACGAGGCACTCTCTGACAATCACCCATTTGCTGTGGACATTCTTAGAGAGCATTCGAGTAAGTTTGCCACGCAGACGGCCGCTTTGCAAGACGCGCTTCCTGCCCATTTTAAAGTGAATCCTAAAATGCACATGTTTCTGGAGCTGTGCATGGGCGGCGGTGAACCAGCGAAGCACTGGAACTATAGGGATGAGGATTTCGGTGGATCTGTAGCTGCATTTGGCCGAAGGAGGGGCCAATGGAGGTCCATGAGAGCGTTTTCGGCGGCATGCATCTCTAAGTTCTGCGGCCAGCCGATTGTGCGCATGCTTTGAAAAGAACGCTTCTGTGTGTATCGTTGTCATTCATTGCTGTCGGCTCAAATATTTGTTGGACCCCTCCCAGTGGGGTGAGCGCGAGCATGGGCGCTGAAGCCCCGTTTGCCCCAAAACGGCGGGTCGAACTATTTTCGGCGCGCCCGAACTATAGATCGACCCGCAGAAAAGTATAACCCCCGCATTATAGTTCGACCCCGCACTATAGATCGACCTTGGAGTCTCAAGGCTCGGGCGCACCCTCCCGGGCCCACCCTCCCGGGCCCGCCCTCCCGAGCCACCCTCCCGGGCCACCCTCCCGGGCCACCCTCCCGGGCACACCCTCCCGGGCCCACCCCCCCGGGCCCGCCCAGCCGCGCTACTTTCCCAGGCCCACCCTCCCGGGCCACCCTCCCGGACCCCACCCTCCCGCACTCGCCCTGGGGGACCCTCCCGGGCCACCCTCCCGGGCCATCCTCCCGGGCCACTCTCCTAAGCCACCCTCCCGAGCCACCCTCCCGGGCCACCCTCCCGGGTCACTCGACGGCCCGGGCCACCCTCTCGGGCCACCCTCCCGAGCCACCCTCCCGGGCCCACCTTCCCGGGCCGCCCTCCCGGGCCCACCCTCCCGGGCCACCCTCCCGGGCCCCACCCGCGGGGACCCTCCCAGGCCACCCTCCCGGGCCACCCTCCCGGGACCCTCCCGGGCAACCCCTGGGCCAGACCCCCGACCGCACGTTGGTGGACCGGGGCTCCCTGCGCACACTTCGGGAGCACCGAGTCGACGCCGAGGGCGCTCAGACCGCCGTCAGGACGATCCACGACGACGCCGATGCCGACGACGACCCCGACGACGACGACGCCGACGACGACGACGTCGATGCCGACGCCCAGAAAAAAAGACTCGCCCTCCACGCTTGAAACTGCTGCAGACTTCTAGAACGACTACATTCTGAAGAGGACCCGCCCTCCATCTTTGAATCCACATCGGTGCCACGAAAGTTTGACCCGTCTCGTGGTTCCACCGAGACACGTTTTAGGCGGGGGCGCCGCGGCGAATTCGAGCTGGAGAAGTGCCGACCTTTTTTTTTGAGGAAGTCCTTGGCGGGGGCGCCATTCCGAAATCGAACCAAGGGGTGTCGAACTGGGCGGTGGGTAACGGCCGGATGTCTTGTCGCGCTCGCGGCCTGTGCGCGGCTTCTTCTTGACAGCCTCGTCCGGGCTGCGGTTCGCAAATTTCAAGTGATGATGCAACTGCAAATTATGTTCGGTTGTCCACGCGTGACACATTCCTGAGGGGTTTCTTTGATCTGGCCGTCGCGAACGTCAACAGGGTGAAGTGCTGGGCGTAATCCGCAGCCCTTTTCCCGGAAAAGGCCCAGGCATGCGGACGCCGCAGATTTCCGATTGAGTGCGTTCTTCCCGAAATCCAGAGCGTGGCTACTTCAAACCAAGCATTTCCTCGAGGGAAGGAGGCATGGGGGAAGAGGAGAAACTGGGAGAACGAGGAGACATGGGGAGGGGGAGGGAGGAGGATGAGGCAGGAGGAGGAGCGGGCAGGAAGAGAAGGAGGAGGCAGAAGGAGTTAAATGGGGGGCGCAGGTGATTCCCAGGCAATCAACGAGATGATCATGTGGGGCCCTACCATGGGGGCTGTATCGTTGGAGTAATTATTTGTGGCACATCAGGGATCCACATAAACGCTCAACATAGTCATGGGGCACCGACTGCATGCTGAAGGCCTGTCTAATACAAGATCTTCCCAGCGTCGAAATCGGCAGGACCGTCGCAAGATTTGATGCCGAATTGTTTCGTTGCGTCTTCTCGTTGTCGAGACACCGCGTCCGGCGATAGCGCCGCCATGATGTTTTTGTTCCAGCCGTTGCTCGTCAAATTCGTCGCCGTCGCATCTCGGGCACAGCCACATTTGCTTCCCAAACATCAGTGCCACGCAACATTCGTGTCCTTCTGTGGCAGGTGTAAAAACCATGCCCGACATATTCTTTCGGGGCCGATTGTGCATTGCTTGGGCGTCCTTACGAAACACATATCGGATGGATCTTGGGTTTGGGGGTTATTTCTGGGCCCCATTGCCATGAAGTCACTTTGGAGGTATATTGGAATCGATTTCAAATCGGGTTGGTGCCATGAGGTCGTTTGGGTTTCAGACTTATAGCATGGGGCCATTGCGGGGTGGATCATCAGGCCAGGGCGTACGGAAAATCAATGTTTGATTTGTGTATTAACTTCCATGCGACATCCCGCAATTGCTTGCAATTTTGTCAGCTGCCATGGATTTCCGCATTCATCGCGATCTCCTGCGCAGCACGGCACGGGAAGGGGAAGGCGACGAGGAAAGGGTGAGGGAGGCAAGGGGAGGCGTCCACATGTCGGAGCTCCTCTCCGTCGAGAAGGGCCGAGCCGTGGACCGCGGGCTCGCCTGCCTGCGCAGGCGCGCCGCCGCTTGCCAGATCGCCCGTGGGATCTCCTGGCGGCGGCGGCACCTGGACACGGACCGGAACCTCAGCGACGCGGGGTCCCGGAAGCCGCTCCACGGCGCGTGCCGCCCGGGGCAGCGGCGAGTGGGAGGTCGGCCTGGTCGGCCCGGCCTCGACGCCGCTCCCGCCCCGCAGCCGACCCTGGCGGAGGAGGGGCCGCCGCCGCTGGCCCCGCGCCGCCGAGGCAGGCGCCCGCGGGCTGGGCCACCCCCGCCGCCACGAGGCCCGGGAGCCATCGGGCGCTGTGGGCCGCGCGCCAGGGCCGGCGGCGCCGCTGCTGTCGCCGCGGGCGCCCGCGGCCAGGGGGGAATCGATTCAGACCCTTGTCGTCGCACCCCCTGGCCGCCTGCCCGCGGCGACCCTTGCCGGCCGCGGCCGCGCGCGCCAGCCCCGCCGGGGCCGGCGGGCGCGCGCGGCAAGCACGGGCCGCGGCTCCCCGCCCCGCGGCCCGCCTGCTGCAGGCGCCTATCGTTTGGGCGCTCGGCCTGGCCGAAAAGGACCGAGAGGTCCTCGCGGGCTGCCGGCTCCTCCGCCAGAGCCGACCTTCGCCGACGGACCTGTTCGGGCTCCTGCGCTTCGGCTTCGTGGACGTCGTCGCCTGCCCGATCGACATCAAGTTCGGGGCCTGGGGGGACATGCTTCGGCCCGCCATCGAGTCCGTCGTGCGCAGTTGGATCGTGTCTCGCCAGGTCTGGTGCGTGCACTCCGGGACCCCCTGCGCTCCGTGGTCAGTTGCCCGTCGGGGTGCCAACGATGCGTCAGCTACTCGCGCTGCTCGGCGGTTCGCTCATGTCACACTTCGCCTCCTCCGACTGTGCGTTCAACATGGCGTTCGTTGGTCTCTGGAGAACCCGCGTGGCTCGCGTCTCTTCGCTTGGGAGCCTCTCCGTAAGTTCTTGGACGGGCACGCTCGGGTCTCAGTGGTGTACGATTGTTGTCGGTTTGGAGCTCCGTACCAGAAGCCTACTCGAGTGGTGTCTGACGTTCTGGAGTTGGGATCGCTGACAGACGGTGTCTTGGGGGCTACGCTCATGAGTACCTCCAGGGCAAGGTCGCCGTCCGCGACCACCAGGGTCGGCTCAAGCAGCACTGGCGCACGACCCTTGCTGGCGCCTACCCTCTGGGTGCCTGCCACAGCGCCGCCCGCGCGCGGCGCCGGCGGCGGCCTGGCGGCGGGATGGTGACCCACTGCTGCCCGGCCACTGGGAGGCTGAGCTCCGGCGCGCCGCAGAGCTGGGCGACTTCCAGTCACCCCTTGACTGCCCCAGCTGCCCGCGGAACTGGGCCCCACTCTGGCCCCGCGACGCCGAGGGCTGGGGCCGCCAGCTCGGCCGCCCGCGGGCGAAGCCGAGTGCGAGGCCGAGGCCGGCCGCCCGCGGCGCTGGCCAGGCGCCCGCCCGCTGACACGGCGCCGGGCTTCCCGCGACGCTCTCAGGTGCGGCCTGGCACGCGGGCGCGCTACGCCGCCAGCATCCTGGCCTTCGCCACCGCCATGGGCGTCGTCACCGACTGCTGGGTGAACGAGGACCTGCCGCTCGTAGCCACCCTGCTGGAGGAGTACTTTGAGCAGCTCTTCCTGGGGGCTGGCAGCTAGGTCGCGGCCAGGTACACGTTGGCTGCGTTCGCCCACCGCTTTGGCATCTCGCTCCGGGCTCCCAGCGTCTTCCCCAAGGCGAAGGGCGCCCTCTCTGGCTGGGGCAAGTTGGAGCCTGACATCACCTCGGAGCCGCTGCGCTGGGCGGCCGCGTGCCTCATGGCCGAGTACCTCGCCAAGCTCAAGACGGAGGACGCCTTGCAGGCCGCCCGTGGGCAGGTGCTTCAGTTTGACACCTACCTCAGCCCTGGCGAGCTGCTCGACCTCCTTGTCCCGTGCTGCCTCTTGCCGCAGCCCAGCGCCGGCTCAGGCTACAACGAGATGGGCCTGGTCGTCGGCGCCTCCGCGCTGGTCACGCGTGACAACAACCGCTCGCGCGTCACCAAGACCGGCCTGCAGGACGACACTGCGTTCGTCGACAGCCAGTCCCGGGTCGGCGTCGCGGGCGCCTTCGCGGCCTTGGTGCGCGCAGCCGACAAAGCCTGACAGGGCCGCCTCATGTTTCTGCGCACCTACGCGAGCTACGACCGCGCGCTGAAGGAGGCGGCCGCCGCAGTCGGGCTGCCGTCCAAGGTCACGGCGCACCTCCCTCGGCACGGCGGCCCGTCGGAGGACTACCTGCGCGGCGCCCGCTCGCTTGCTGACATCCAGGCCCGCGGCAGGTGGGCCACTGTCCGTTCTGTTCAGAGATGCCAGAAGAGCGGCCGTGCCCTCGCTTCCTTTCGTCGGCTCTCGACGGCCGTCAAGGCTGAGGCCAAGCGGGCTGGGGCTCGGGAGCTCTGCTTTCTTGCCTGAGCCTCGCGCTTTGCCCCCTGCGGCACCGTCACCGGCGCATGTTTCTTTTTCTTCGGCCTGTCAATAGAGTGATATGGGATTCATACTCCAGCTGCATGGGTTCTTGGATTCAGGTTTGGCCAGACGATTTGATTGATTCAGGCGCCCGCCGAAGAGAGATCGAGCGGGCGCAGGTCTTCCGTGTGCTCGGCCAACCGCCTTCGCAAGTCACCGTGGGCTGGGGGCCCGAGCTCGGCGAGAGAAAAAAGAATGAGAGTCTTCGTCACGCTAGCTACCTTTTCCTCTTCAGGCCGTTGCCGCTCCGTCTCTCCATAGGGGCCCGCACTGGCAGGGGGGCCTTTAACAACTGCGTTGCATATGCTCGCGACGCTTGTGCATTTGCCCCCCCCCCCCGCTGCCGTGACTCCTCAAGCGTTGCTGCCGCCCCGCACTGCCCGCCCTGGCATGCAGCTGGAGAGGCAGAGGCTCAGGCAAGCTTGGACTATAATGACTCGGTTCTTGAGTTCAGGTCTGGCCAGACAATTTGATTGACTCAGGCGCCCGCCGAAGAGAGATCGAGCGGGCGCAGGTCTGCCGCGTGCTCGGCCAACCGCCCCCGCACGTCAACTTGGGCTGTGGGCCCGAGCTCGGCGAGGGAAAAGGGAATGAAATTCCTCGTCACGCTAGCTACCTTTTTCTCTTCGGGCTGTCGCCGCTCCGTCTCTCCAGAGGGGCCCGCGCTGGTATCGAGGGGGCCTTTAACAACTGCGTGCTCTTGCGCGGCTCTTCGGTGGTCTTCCATGAGGCCTTTGCAGTATGGATGTAGCTCCCGGGGCCGCGTTGCCAAATGGGCAGCCATTCGGGGGGTGGCCGTTTGACAGAGAGGCTCCCTTGGCAAACGTGCAGGCCCAGCCAAGGCGGGGGGAAGGGTGTGGCTAGCGCATTTGGCAATGGGCCCCATTGTCAAATAGGTTGTTTTGGGGCCAGGTCTGGGCGGCCAAGTTAGTCCGATTATCGATTTGACAGCGGGGGCACATTGTCACATGGGCCATCGGGGAGGCAGGCCGAGGCGCGGGAGTTGAGCTCCGAATGCCCATGCGTCAGTGGGGGCCCACTGTCACTGGAGGGGGGAGGGGGGGGGGGGCAGACGCAGGAATTGTGCTCCGATTGCCCGTTTGACCGCGTGGGCCACATTCAAATGAGCAGTCAGGGGGGCGAGGCCGAGGCTGGCGAATTGAGCTCCGATCGCCCACTTGGCAAAGGGAATCCCATAGTCAAATGGGTCATCGGGGCTCCGGATTGCCCATTTTATCATGGGATCCCCACTGCCAAATAGCCAATCTGAAGGGAAGCGTGGCCGATTGCGCGCCTTGACACTGGGGGTGCCATGGTCAAACGGGGAAAGTTCGCTCAGTCTGGCCGCGTGCTATTTTGCACCCCCCCCCCCCCCACCCACCCACCCACGCGCGCGCACAAACGCACCAACGCACAAACACACACAAACACACACAAACACACACAAAACACACACAAACACACACAAACACACACAAACACACAAACACACACACACACACACACGCACCACGCACACGCACACGCACACGCACACGCACACGACACACACACACACACACACACACACACACACACAACACCCACACACACACACACACAACACACACACACACACACACACACACCACACCACAACACACACCCACACACACACACTGACACACACACAACACCACGTCCTGGGGGGGATCGCGGGAGGGCCGGGTGGCCGCCCAGCTTAGACGAACCCCAAAAAAACAAAGGGGTGGACGGACCCCGCCACTACCGGCGCCCGAGGTCGTCGACAAGTCCGAGGCGGAGAAGCTGCGCAGGACGGTGCCTGCGCTGCTGTCTGACGCGCGGGCTTGCCATGAAGCGGCTGGCTTGCCTGGGTCGCTGGGCAAAGACCTTCGCCGCGTGGTGCGGGCCGCGACCTTGGGTGAGCTAGTTGATGGGGTTGAAGGGGCGCGCCGCCCTCCCGCAGGATACCTCGCCGAGATGGCCAGCCTGACGATGTGGGCCCTTGGCAAGAAGCGGCCAGCATGCGGTTGATGCGCGTCCTCCTTGGCCGACGGGTGCGAGTGCACTGCTTCCGCCGCCCGCCGGCTGCGAGAATCGCCCACGCCTGGCGTTGGCTCGGCGACCCGCGCTGCGGAGGCCGCTTCAGAGTCAACTTCGTCGAGGACCTGCTGATGCGCCTCGCGCTCTCGGGCCTTTGCGCGGCTGCCGTGCGGCTCGAGGTCGACCGCCTGGCGACGGCGTCGGATGCTTCGGAGGCTGCAGGCGCCGTGGTCTACAGCGCGGCCCTCGCCGGCCGCGGCTGCGCGCTGGTGGCGAGGCGCCAGCGACCTGCCGACGCTGCTGCCGAGGAGGAGACCGCCTTGATCACCGTCTTCGACGGGATCGGCGGTGGTCGCAGGGCCTTCGAGATTCTCGGCTTGGTCCCCGCGGTTCACCTGTCGTTCGAGGTGGGCCCCCAGGCGGCGCGCGTTGCGCGGCGCTGTTGCCCTGGGGCCCAGACCCAGCACCACGGGGATGTGACGGAGGCGGACGCGCCCTCTTCGGCAGGCCTGCTGCGGGCGTGAAGCCGCATCACGCACGCGTTGGTCATCGGCGGTTTCCCCTGCCAGGTGTGCGCGAGCCTCAACGTGGACCGCCGGGGCTCGTCGGACCCTCGAGTCTCCCTCGTCGACTGCATGGTCGAGCTCATCACGGGTTTGCGGGCGGCCATGCCTGAGGCGACGGTTGACTTCCTGTGCCAGAACGTTGCTTCGATGGCTGAGTCCGACGTTATCCACCTCAACCGGCTCTTCGAGCGCGTCCATCTGGAGATCGAGGCCGGTGGCGTCGGCTGGGTCAAGCGGCCCCGCTTGTACTGGGCATCTTGGGACCTCCTGCCGTCGTACGAGGCCGAGGCTATCATGGTGGTGGCCAAGGACTCGTCAGCGCGCCGCGCGTGCCGCGTGGCGCTGAAAGCTGCGCGGCCGCCGCTGGAGGAGCGGCTGCCGGCTGGCGCGAGCTGCCCTGGCGCTGCCGAGGGCGAGCCGCTGCCGACCTTCGTCCGCTGGACGCTGCGCTCGCAGCCGCGCCCTAGGCCTGCGGGCATCGGCGAGTGCTCAGCTGCGGAGCTGGCGCGCTGGGAGGAGGCGGGCTTCGCGGCCCCGCCTTATCAGTTTCGTGACAATTGGTGCACTCACTGGCCTGATGGGCGGATCACGCCCCCCGATGCGGGCGCGCGCGAGAAGCTGATGGGCTTCGCCGAGGGTCACGCGGCCCCCTGCATGACGAGCAGCGAGGCGAAGGCCGACCCTGGGAAGTACGAGGCCTTGCGCCGCTCTTTGCTCGGGAACCCCTTGTGGCCTGGGTGGTGAGCCACTGGGCCGTTGCTGTCGGGCTGCTGGTAGCGGCGCCGTCGCTCGCGGAGCTGCACGAGAGCGCGCGGGCCTGGGCTGGCGGTCGCAAGCTGTGGGCAGGCGACGTCACCTCCTTGCGCTGCGGGCGCGTGAATGTCGACGAGAAGGTCTGCCGTGAGCTGCAGGTGGCAGGCGCCTCGCAAGAGCCCGTGAGCCCCCCCGGCGTCGTTTACGTCGGCCGCGGGTCGCAGCGCTGGCGCCCGGGCCCGGCAGGAGATCGATGCAGGCATCTGGCAATGGTGCAAGGCAAGGCAGTTGATTTGGGACGTCTCCGAGCATGTCAATGTGCTGGAATGTCAAGGTGCTTTGATGGTGATTCGATGGCGAGCTCGATCGTTGGCTCGGCAGCCAGTTCTCGTCGTCGAAGCCGCAAGATGGTCCGGATGGCAGACTCATTGCCGGATCGTTTGGGAATGGATTCCAAGGTAATGCAGAGGCCTCCCAGTCCCCTGAAATACCTTGCAATACCTTGCAACACTACCCTGCAATACCATGCGCATGACCCAAGATCGCCCCAAGAGCGTCCCAAGCCTTCGTCGCCGTCGCCGTCGCCGTCGTCGTCGTCGTCGTCGTTATCGTCGTCGTCGCCGTAGTCGTCGCCGTAGTCGTCGTCTTTGTCGTCGTTGTCGTCGTCTTCGTCTTCGTCGTCTTTGTCGCCGTCTTTGTCGTCGTTGTCGTCTTTGTCGCCTTTGTCGAGCTCGATCGTTGGTGGTGCGCAGCTTCTCTGCCTGGGAGCTTGCGATGGGCGCGTGGGCGGTTTTCGGGGTTACTTCTTCAGCTCGCAACCCCGCGGATGCCCCGTCGCGCCTGAAGGATGGGGAGGCGGAGTCGCCCATCCGATCGTCGCACCGCCAGAGCTGGACTGGGGAAGCTGAGAGATGCTCGCATTGCGACTGCCACTCTTGCGAGATATCGTCGTGCCGCTCAGCAGTTTGTTGACTATCTCAATGCCACGGGCCTGCCGTTGCCTTTCGGTTGGGAAGATATGGATATTACCCTTCAGGATTATCTTGAGCACCTCTGGGCGGAGGGTGCTACAGGAGGTCAAGCTAACGATGCGCTGAGTGGAGTGCAGCACTTGTTGAGGACGCGCCAGCAGTGTCCTGGTGCGCGGCGGCTGCTGTCGGTCTGGGGCCGTTTGGAGCTAGCTCAGCGCGCGCCGCCGACGCCGCCGCTGGTCTGCAGCGCGCTTGCTGGCTGGGCGCTAGGACGCGGTGAGATCGCGTTCGCTGCGACAGCGCTGGCAGGCCCCCACCTCTGCCTTCGGACAGGCGAGGCCCTCGGCCTCTCCAGCGGCGTCATCCAGCTGAAGCCTTGCGGCCGTGGCGCGATGTCGTTGCCATGGACAATGGCGGCCTGTCAGAAGGGGGCGCGGGAGACGGCGACGCTCGATTGCCCGGTCGTCGGAGCTGTTGTCACGCAGCTGCAACGGCACAGCCGTTTGCGGCCGCGCGCTTCCCATGCCTTGTTGCGCACTGGCCTGCAGCAGATCGGCTGTGAAGATTTGGCCCCCGTCCCTTACAGTCCTCGCACAGGAGGTGCCACTCACGA